GATGAATCCTCTGACAGCCTCCTCTTTACTCCTTAGTCCTTGATTCTGACTGTAATCCTTACTGACAAACACATACTTAGCTTTGTCCAGGAGCTGGTCTGTAAAGATTGTTTATATTACAAGTCAATACACTGTAACTTAATTTCTAACATTTTGATCATATTAACAATTATCTGAACAGAAAACTAGGTCTGAAAACTCTCATTCTTTAATGATCTGAATTTTGTTTATAAATGTTTTATCTTCATGAAAACTTGTACAAACTGAAAAGTTACTGTTGTGATCGTCATAGAAAATGCTTGGGGAGAAGATAATGACAGAACAGGATTTGTATACCCAGTTCTGGTCTGGCAGGTTTCTCTATTTCCACTGAAGTCTGGACCTGCTCGGATTCTGGCACTGAGAGGTTGTACTCATCAATTTGAGCTAACATACAGACTATTTCATAGGCTGGGGTATTGAAACTTGGTCTTCCCTAAAAATGTGAAAGAAAACATAGATTAGAGTTTATTTCTTTTCCTTTGATGATATAAAACAATGCAATTGCAAAATGAAAGAGAACTGAATACCTCAAAATGTATCCATTTGTAATTTTTCAGATTAACAGCTTTGAAGTCGTCTAAAGTAATTTCAGGCAAATTCCTGTAAAGAATTTTTCTCAGTAATGTTTTGAATTCAATGTATTATTGTAACACAGTACTGTATGTGATTATTCAGTTTCCATTTGGCACATCAATCTTCACTGTATACCTTTCTCACTGACATTAGCATAAGAGTGATACTGTAATTAAAGAAGGACATCTCGGGACTCGGGTGAGGTACATGTACTATTGGTTTAATACTTGTAGGGTATGTAGCCATGTACAATCAAAAAAGTTAAGGCAACAGGGAAGGAAGGTGATACAAATTGTAAATACTTGTAGTTTACTTGCTGGCATGTAGTATGGTCCTGGATCCGTTTTGTGAGTTGACAATTATAACAGAGGTAGGAGTGATGTAGCCTGTATTGTATGTAACACAGTGAGAGGTGGACACCCCAAAACTGTCAAAGTCCTCCTTCAAAAACCTGTTGTGAATTAAAATAGAAAATAAATATTTTATATAATTACATGTATTAAGTACCTAAGACAAAAACATGATTGCAGAATTTGCCCCCACAAAAATGACTGATTTTACAGTAATAGAGTTTGTTGGGTATAAACGTGGGATTTTGTTCTATACCTGACAAACTAGACAGTGTCTATTCCTTAATCAATACCTCATTTCATTATCATTAGCAAAGCTTCCCATATACTCCGACTGGGCTCCCAGTAGTGATAGAACAGAGCTCGTGTTAGAAGCATTTCCTCCCTTCTGCCAATAGAAATCCAACACTCTGTAATGCAAAGGACTAAATAATATGACATTATGGATTATTTACTCATTTTACTGACTTGTTTGTACTGAAATTAGGACTAAATAATAATAATAATAATAATATCTACTGAATTGTTTATTTAAAGCCAAGAACTAAAAAATCTAATCAATCAGTAGTTCTTTTTTTTCTCTCTCTTAATGCCCCATAGAGATCTTCATTTCCAACACACAGAATCTATGAAACATTTTCATCTTGTATAGTAATATTTTTTCTGAGGCTGCTTATTATTAGTATAATTATCAGCTGAACCACATTTGTTTCTTATCTTTTACCGAGTACAAGTTCATGCTTTCTACTTAATTTCTTGCCTTTGATCACTGTCTTCCTCGGGATAATTTTTGCACACACTTATAATGTCAACACAAGCAAGTCCCACACACATCACACGGGGTCCAGACATATCAAACTATATCCAAATATCTACTCAAAAATAAATGGTCTTAGTAATGACACATGTGCTATTTCTCAGACCACCAAGTTCACACGTTGTCAACAAAGCGAAAGTAGAAAATGTTTGATAACAGCAATCGGAAGCTTTCTTGTGTTATCCTTGTCTCATTCAATCAGACTGCCCAAATCAGCATGCAGTTCTCCATCCAGGGCTGTCATTTTTTTTAGGGTCGACTCCCACTAGATATATGGAATATTACAGATGTAAATATAGCGTCATCGCACTAGTTATCGCTCCATCGTTCTACCGCACCATCGCATTGTCAGGCCATCGCATCATCGTCATCGCACCATACAATGGTCACAGGTTCGTTCGCCCGATCTACCTGTTCGCGGGAGTCCGTTCGCGCAGGGTCCGTTCGCCCAAAAATTTCTTCGCCCAAAATCTTGTTCGCCCTATTAAAGTTTCGCCCAATACTTATATATTATATTATATATACTTATACTTATATATATTAACTTATTTGAAATAAAGATTAACATGTATTTTTATTTCCTTTACGAACTTGGGTTATTTTTTCTCAAACCAGGAACAATGTTTATTTAGTCTTAATTAATTTTTTATTTGATTCTAATGCATTTATTAATGATTTAGTGTTTACACTATAGTTAATTAATTAATTACTAATATCAATGTTAATTGGGGGATACACCCGTGTTGTTTTTGCGAATTGCGCTATGTTTTGACAACAATTGAGGGACTAAGACGTTAATAGATCCCTTATAGAACTGAGCAGCGGATCCTGAAGGTTTTACCTTTAAAGAATCTCCCTTTGATCTCAAAAAATGATTTATAGGAAGATGAAAGATGAAAATTAACATTCAACTATCAACCATGGCAGAGGTCAACCCCCGTGCCTTTCCAAACAGCCTGTCAGGTCTTTGATAGAGCATGTATTTTTTAGTATGACCCTATGTGTGACATATGCTCAATCAGTAAGTATTATTTCGAATGTACCTAAAATGTAAAAAGAAATTCATTATATTATATATTCTATATAAAATCTGGGCGAACGGACCCTGCGCGAACGAGAAATCGGGCGAACGGACTCTGGGCGAACAAAAAATCGGGCGAACAGGATATCGGGCGAACAATTTTTAGGGCGAACGAACATGGAACCCCATACAATCGCTGTATGAAATCCGAAAAGGGCAATGTATAGTTGATCACTATCGCATCATCGAGCACTCTCAGCGAGACTGCCGGTGTAAAGACGAATAATGACCCCCATCGAATAATGACCGGGGGTCATTTATCGACAGCGAAAAATGACCGGGGGGGGGGGGGGGTCATGTTTCGACAGCGAAAAATGACCCCCGGTCATTATTCGACGTTGAAAAATGACCCTTTTGCCCGTAGAAAAAGTGTCACCACCCTAACCCACGTGAAGAAAAGTGACCCCCGTAGAAAAATGACTCCCTGTGGATTAAAGCTGAAATTTTTAGGGGGCAAAAAAAAAATTAATAAAGAAGCATATTGGCCAAAATGCTCACCTGAGCTTATTTGGAATAAATTGATGATATGTTGATCTCATAACTTACGATTATAGGTATATTTTAAGGTCAATGCTATGATTCAGAATCTAAAGGAGTAAAGATTTATCGAGCCAGGGTTAGGTAAACATTGTTTTTCGATGGTGGAAATCATCGTACTGACAGAAAAAATCAGCAGTATCATACATTATTATATCCTCCGCTTGAAAAGCGGGAGGGTATATAGTGATCGGGACGTCCATCCGTCCGTCTGTTACGCTTCGAGGTATCCATCTTTATCCGCAACTTCTCTTATATATAAAAAGATGTGTTTGTGAAACAGCTATGCCCCTGTATGGCAACATAGCGAAGATTAAACTTTTCTTAAATGCAATTTGAATATAATGGTACCCAAAGTAGGGTCTTCTCACAAGAAATACAATTGCAAAATAGGAAAGCCCTAGCACCACTTGTTCAAAATTAATGGCTAGGGATAAGTATTTGAAAGGTAGGTCAAACTCAAAGGCCAAAGGTCAAAGTTGATGGTTTCTTAAGAAAGGTTTAATGTAACAAGGATTACATTTGTGAAGTATGAGAGTACTAGTATCTACAGTTTAAAAGTTATAGCCAAAGTTAATTTAAAAATTGGCATTTTTTTCGTAAAATGGGACAAACTCAAAGGTAAAGGTCAAAAGGTCAAATCTGGTGGTACCCAAAGTAAGGTCTTGTCACAAGGAATATACACATATTGAATATGAAAGGCATAGCTACAATAAATGAAAAGTTATGGTCAAGGTTAAAGTTTCTGCGGAGAAACAGACCGCCAGATAGACAGACAGACATACAGACGGACACGATAAAACTATATACCCCGAATCTTCGATTACAGGGACATAAAAAGAAATGGTCTTCAATTAACTTTGTTATGATACAGTTAAAGTTTAGAAGACGTTACAAAAATGAAAATGTTTGTTCTGATTTTCATATTAAATTCTCTGAAAAATATACTCAGAACTGGGTGAAAGGGTGGAGTAAAACAAGAATTAAGAAATGTAATGAATACTGTGTGATAAATCAAAAAGTTATGTCTACATGTATAGTTTTTGCATTAGAATGTGTATTTTACACTAGCCCACAGCTTTACAAAGCATGTTTTTAGGTGCTATACCCACCCCACCCCCTTACTTATTTAGGAGGAAGTCGATTAGCAACAAAAGCAACAACAACAACAACAACAAAAACCTACCCTACCTTTATTTTTCTATAAGGAGGGACTAAAAATAAGCTTAAAATAATCTACTATTCTACTAATTTTCAACTGTTACTTTGCCACAATACTTTCAAGTATACCCCCACCAACATTTAAAGTATGCTTTAATCATGGCGAAGTAAATTATGATATGATAGAACTTGTGTGAGGGCTTAACTTCATTTCAATATTTTATCTAGAGCCTCTTTCAGTATTATTGAAAGGTATAGAGTTTTATTTATATTTTTGCTTTTCATTTATTTATTTTTATTTATTTATTTATTTATTTTTTTTGATTTAACGTATTTTTATACCCCCCGCAAACGAAGTTTGGGGGGGTATATAGGAATCACCTTGTCCGTCTGTCCGTCTGTCTGTCTGTCCGTCTGTCCGTCTGTCTGTGTAATCGTGTCCGGTCCATATCTTTCTTACAGAGAAACATTAGAATCTACTACTCCACATTAAGATTGCTCATGACCTAAGGGTGTGTCATGACCTTGACCCAAGGTCATTCGGGAAAGTTCAAGGTCACTGGAAGAAAAATTTCATAATTCGTGTCCGGTCCATATCTTTCATATGGATAAACTTGGTAGGTTCTCATTTCACACAAAGATTGCCCATGACCCAAGGGTGTGTCATGACCTTGAACCAAGGTCATTTGGGAAAGTTCAAGGTCACTGGAAGAAAATTTTCATAAATCATGTTTGATACATATCTTTTATAGATAAACTTGGTAGGTTCTCATTTCACACAAAGATTGCCTATGACCCAAGGGTGTGTGCATGACCTTCACCCAAGGTCATTTGGGAATGTTCAAGGTCACTGGAAGAAAATTTTTTATATTCCCTGTCCGGTCCATATTTTTTTTATGGATAAACTTGGTAGGTTCTCATTTCACACAAAGATTGCCCATGACACAAGGGTGTGTCATGACCTTGACCCAAGGTCATTTGGGGAAGTTCAAGGTCACTGGAAGAAAAATTTCATAATTTGTGTCCAGTCCATATCTTTCTTATGGATAAACTTGGTAGGTTCTCATTTCACTGAAAGATTGCCCATGACCCAAGGGTGTGTCATGACCTTGACCCAAGGTTATTTGGGGAAGTTCAAGGTCACTGGAATAAAAATTTCATAATTTGTTTTTGATACATATCTTTATTATTGAAAAACTTACTTCTGAAAAACCCAGCGGGGGGTATTTTGTCCCGTTTGGACAGTTCTAGTTTTTTTTGGGGGGGGGGTTAAAAATTTCCTCCTCTTTCATTGTCAAAAAGGATTTGCCAAACTTATACAAGCTAAAAGTTGAAATGAAGGAAAAATTAATTTTTCTATTAAAGAGTATTGGAACCTGATTGTTGCATGGTTTGATTTCTAAAAACAAGTGGAATATCATTCTTTAAGCAAACACTATAAGGAGGAAATTAAAAAGAAATTTTATTACTTGACAATTAAAGAATCTCTTTTCACTTTAAAGGTGGTCATTTTTCAATGGGGGTCAATTTTTTATAGGAATAACATATAAAATAATGACCCCTATGACACTTTTTCTGCAAAAAATGATTTTTTTCTACGGGTAGGGGGTCATTTTTTGTCGTTGAAAAATGACCCCCGGTCATTATTCGATGGGGGTCATTATTCGTCTTTACACCGGGATCTCTGCTATCGCACCATCAGTCATCACATCATCGTCATCTCACTAAATTGCACCATCTCTTCATCATCATTATCCCATCTTTTCATCGTTATTGCGCCATCTGCATCTACCCTTTATTCGATGCTCGATAGTTTGATAGTGAAATTCATAGCCCCATCCGGATTCATATTAAATTATTTGCCAGTGGAGTCGAATTCTTGCCTTCGCCCTAAGCCTAACCCTGACCGTAACCCTTGCAGCTTAACTCTAACTCTTATTCTAGCTCTAGCTCTTATTCTAGCTTTACCGGTGGAGAGCTTCAAATTTTTGACCCATGATCTGCACTTAGAGCCATTGAGCAGGGGGGATTTTTTTCGTGCCAGCACCTACTGCGCGTGCGACACGGGACCTCGATTTATACGGTCTCATCCGAAGGATCGGTCTCCACGTCCCACAGTGGGATACGAACCCGCGACATAATAGGATTAACTCCTTACTTCGCGACTCTAGAGCAGACGCTATATAACCACTGCACCACGCGGGCGACGAGTAAAGATATTTTTAAAGATTGCACGAATTTTTAAGGTGTTAGCTCACCCCTCAGGCCCTGGGGGAAGACTTTCCCAATTTTTACTCCCCGTCACCCATAGATGCTTCATGTATATGCCAAATTTGGCTGAAATTGTTTCGTTTGTTCCAGCGAAGAAGCTGAAATTGTTCAACAGTTTACGAACGACGACGGACAACACAGATAGCAATATATGACTCGGGTGACCTGAAAAAGATGGGGGCGATGAAGATTGCATGATTATGTGTATGTTGGTTTACGTCCCATTTGAGAAGTTT